TACAAAGCGTTTTTATACGATCAATTAAATATAAAAATCCAAAAATGCGAAAAATAAATACGAATAATGCATATGATAGTACAATTAAAGAATGCAAAACAATTCTAACAATAAAATTTTTTAAAGAGAAGTAAAATTTTTATACTGTAAATCCAATTTAGCTGAAGGAAATCAAGTTCGAGATGAGGATTCGGATTCCTTGTCACTTTGTGTCTTTCTATATTGAAAATTGACAGATCCTGTGATATCGAAAATCTGATGAATTATCGTTCGATTTTGAGAATTTTTTTTTTACATATATAGTTAAACCTACCAAGTATTATAGAGTCAAATATTATTATCCTACTTTGTAGATGATTTGGCCAGATATATAAAACACTCAATGTCAACATTGTTACATAAATCGGATGCTTGATGAAAAGTTCGATCAATTTCATTTAAATTCTTTAGTCTTACGATCTTCGCTATTGAAAATCCAATGAATTCTGATTTATGATAGATTGATTCTGTATAAGTAATGACCACTGCTTTTTCTTCATACCTTAGAGAAAATCAGTAATAATTAAAATGACTCATGATCTTTTATATTTTACTGAACTTTTCCTGGTTCGCTAAATATACTAGCGGAGAAAATGCAAAGACTTTTTTTATGAGAAATTGGCCTACCTGTAGTACAATTATTCTGAAAAGATTTTTTCGATGAGCAGGTGCTACGCATTAATCTTTTACTTCATCAATCCGTCATTGTTCATCGTAGTCAAAGAATCTGCAAATTTGATTGCATTACGAAATCTGAATCAGCGGTATTCATTGGGAACTTAACTTATGTAAGGGAAGGTTCAAGGGCAAAAAGGCTATATTACACCGTAATTAAAGAAATCAAATGGAATACTAATTCTTACTCACCTCCCAACTAAACCCGCGATTCAAGAATTAAATTAATCGTCTATTGAAATCAATATATTATTATCGCATCATAGAATCAGTCAATTGAGATTCCTGGAAGTTTTTGAGAAAGAAGTAAATCTTTACAGCAATTAGGATGGAGTATTTCATATGGCTTCTAAACCATAAATGTTTTTATGATATACGAACAATGCAATTAATTAAAAAAATCCTTGGTCAAAATGGCCTTTCAAAATAATTAAATGGGAATTGTTGAATAAAAAGTCGCAATGAACTTTTCGTCTCAGTTGATGGTGTATAAATTTTTTTCTGACTGTAGTTCAAGACTTCAGAGGCTTGATTAACATAAATGATGTCCCATTAAACCCAAACTATACGGAAAAATTTAAAAATCTACAGACGGAATGAATTCAAAATTTTTTTTTTTTGCGAACATGTAAAATGCATTTTATACTGTTAATACATAAAAAGTTAGAAAATCAGGTTGTTTTTATGTAATTACTTAAAGGGACAAAAATCAGCTACCATTTAAAAAAGAGTAGGAGCAATTTATGACATGTAAAAAAGATGGTTAAGCATTATTACCTCGCGTATGTGAAAAATTGTAGACATGCATTGATCGTTATTATTTGATTGGTTTTAATAGATTTGCTTTGACAAATTCTTTATCGGGTTTACTGTATTTAAATTTATTAGACTTTACTTTTCTCAATAACAATAAATTTATCAATTCAAAATTAGTTTGAACAATTAATATTACAGCAAATAGATAAAGAAAATTTATTGGCTTTTTTTTTTAATCAATTATTATTATAAACTTTCAACTTTAATTAATCTAAATCAAAACTCGTTATCCACAAATTTTATATTTAAAAAAATAACGTGAATGCAAGTGAAAAACTATGCAGATAGTTACTTTAAGTTAAATTATATGTCGGCTAAATTATTAAAAAGTTTACTTTTAAAATTTTTTTTTTTT